AACGCATTCCTAAATAATCAATAATCAAAGAAGAAATCTCAAGGAAAAACAGAAAGTACACGGAGATGAAAGAAAAGGAAAACAGAGCCAGTGTGGTGGGGCATGCCTGTAATTCCAGAACTCAGAAAGATCAGGGGTTTGAGGTCAGCCTGACTATATAACAAGACCCTGTCTCAAAGAAAAAGAAAAGAAAAACACAATATACAATAACTTGTGGAATGCTTTAATGTTTAAAAGGAAACACATAACTATAAATGCCTATATTACAAAAGAAGTTCTCAAATCAATAATCCAATCTTATATAACACTGGCAAAAAAGAATAAATTAAGCCTAAAGCAAGCAGAAGGTGGAAAAAATAAGGTTTAGGGCAGAAAACTAATGACATATAGAACAGAAAAACAATACAAGAAAATCTCTGAAAGTGAAAGATCAATAAAGTTGACAAATGTTTATTAGGAACGTTGACTAAGAGAAAAAAGGAGAAAGTCAAATTACAAAAATCAGGAATTACCACTGACCTTACAGAATAGAAAGGATTATAGTGGGTCCCTGTGAACACTTGTATGCCAGACAACTGGTCACTTAGATTAAATGGTTAAATTTCCTAGAAAGACACACACTACTGAAACTTACTCAAAAAGGCCCAAAAAATCTGACTAGACCTGTAACAAGTAAAAAGATTAAATTAGCGACCCAGAAAGAAAAGCCCAGTCGGCTTCACTGGTGAATTCTATCAAACACTTAAAGAACTAATACAAACTTTTCCAAGAAATAAGAGGGAATGCTTCTCAGCTCATTTTATGAGGCCAGTATGATTCTGATACCAAGATCAGACAAAGACATCACTAGAAAACCCCAAACTGGTATGTGTTAGGAGTACAGTCACAAAACCCTTTGACAAAGTACTAGCAAAGCAAATCCATCAACGTATGAGAAAAATTATTTACTATGACCTGGTGAGACTTATCTAAAATAAGGTTAGTTAGCCTCCAAAATAAAATGGAATAGACCAAAGGACAAGAACAACCCAACTATAGATATGGGAGGAAAAATCATTTAACAAAATTCAACACTCTTTCAGGATAAAAAGAACACTCAACCAACTTCAAATAGAAAGGAACTCATTTAATTGGTAAAGAACATTCATGAAAACCCACGACCAATATCATGTTTAATGGGGAAATACTGAATGCTTTCTTCCTGGAATCAGAAATAAGACAAAAATGCCCAAATCCTTCACGTCTACTTAATATTTGATTTGACCAAATCAAATAGACAAGAAGAAGAAATGGTTTCTACACTGGAAAAGAAGAATAAAAGCAAATATTTGCAAATGCCATAATCTCAGGGATTCACTAAATAACTACAGGAATGAAGAACTGAGGTTAGTAAGGTTGCAGGAAACAAGATCAATATGTATCAACTGTGTATCTATGTTTTAGCAACAAACAACTGGAAAGGATATTCGAAAGTAATTCCACTTACAATATCACCATAAAGAAAAAAAGAATAAACTTAACAAAATAAACACAAAACTTACACTCTAAGAACCATTAAGACATTGATGAAAGAAATTCAGAAGACCTAAGTAAATAGAAAAATAGCCCATGTATCAGATCAAAAGACTGAAGAGGCCAATACCAGAGCTGGGGTGTAGCTTAAGGTACAGAGCTTGCTTAGCATTTAGCAAGGCTCTTAGTTCAATCTCCAGCATCACAAAAAAAAAAAAAAAAAAAGGCAATACCCGGAAATTGAATGAACACAACCCTTACAGAAATGGAAGCAATTCAGAGTTGCAAAAACAATTCTGAAAAAGATCTAAGTTGAAAGACTCACACTTCCTTATTATAAAAAGCTACAGAACTCTGGCTGGTAAGTGGCTCAAGTGGTAGAGCACCTGCCTACCAAGTGTGAGGCCTTGAGTTCAAACCCAAGTACTGGGGTTTAAAAAAAGAAAAATCCATGGGCCAGGTGCTGGAGGCTCATGCCTATAATCCTAGCTACTTGAGAGGCTGAGATAAAGAGGATCAAGGTTCAAGGCCAGCCTAGGCAAATAGTTCACAAGATCCCATCTCCAAAATAAGCAGTCCAAAATGGACTGGATGCATGGCTCAAGTGGTACAGTACCTATTTTGCAAGTACAAAGCCATGAGTTCAAACTCCAGTTGGAACGAACCACCAAAAAAAAAAAAAGCTACAGAAATCGATGTAGTGTGGTAATGGTTTAGGTACATACATAGACCTATCAATCTATGATCTGATCAGAACAGCAGAACATAAACTCTTACATTTATGGTCAGCTGAATTTTGGCAGGACAATTCAATGTGGAAAAGAAACAATTTTTTCAGCATATAGTGCAAAAGACTGAACTTGGATCCCTTATACTCCAAATATTACTCAAACTGAATCATAAGCTTAAGTGTAAGAACTAAAAGTATGAAACTCCTGAGCTACTGCTTTCACCCAATAGGTAATCGTAACGCAAAAGACAGAGTAACGCATGTTGGCAAGAACATAGACAAACTGGAACCCCCATGTATGCTGCTGGGGAGAATAAAATGGTGTAAACACTTTGGAATACAGTTTGGTACTTCCTCAAAATATTAAGTGTGGAGTTACCACATGGCTCAACAATTCTACTTCTAAATGACCTAGAGAAATAAAAATATATATCCACAACAAGTTGTGTAAGAATGTTAATAGCAGTATTATTCATAATAGCCAAGAGTGGAAACAACCCAAATGTCTATCAACTGATGAAGAGATAAACAAAACATGGTATTTATACAACTAGCTAACATCTGTCAATAAAAGAGAAGCAAAACCCCACTGAATTATATCCTTTTAAGTGGGTGATGCTTGGCACCAGTAGCTCACACTTATAATCCTAGCTACTTGGAAGGCTGAGATTGGAGGACTGAGATTCCAGGCCAGCATAGGCAGGGAGTTCAAGAGACCCATCTCAACCAATAGCTTCACAGTGGCATGAGCCTGTCACCCTAAGATCCCAAGCTACACAGGAAGCTGAAAGGATCACAGATCCACACCAGCACAGGCAAAAAACATGAGACACACCCCTACCCCCAAAAGAAAAAAAAAAAGTGGTGTGTGGTGGTATGTGCCTGTCATACCAGTGGTGGCAGGAAGCTAAGATAAGAGAATTATGGTCCAGGCTGGCTTAGGAAGAAAGCGAGACCCTATCTCTGAAACTAACCAGAGGAAAAAAAGTTGGAGGTGTGGGCCAAGCCGTACAGCAGCTGCCTCAAAACACAAACCCTGAGTTCAAACCCCAGTACCACCAAAAGTAAATAAAATGGGGGGCATATATATGATTTATTATGAATTCTATCTCAATAAACATGTAAAAACAGAACTAGAAAGCGTCTTGACAGTCCAGTGCCTGACACACGAGGGATCACAGCCTCACTGCTTTTTTTTTTTTTTTAGGTGTATTTAACAAGTTTATGAACTTAATCACAGATATTATCTCAAAATGGAAATTTTCCAAATCAGGAACATGGTGAACATGGTAGTAAAACAGCATTTAAAAAAGCAGTGACACTATTCACTTTCTTCTTTGCACTCCGCCAACCCCCTCAACCAAAAAAGAAGAGAAATAGAGAATGCTCAGTCAGGATTGAAATTTCTATGAGAAAAAAAAAGTGTAAGATACTTTGTAAAAGTTTTTAAAATATTCAGACTGTGGGACGGGGATGCAGCTCAGCTGGTAGAGTGTGTGCCTGGCAACACGAGACCCTGAATTCAAAACCCAGTACGGCAACAAAAAAAAAAATTCCAGACCTTTCACAAAGTCGTATCATACCTCGCTTCCAGGGATATAGTCCGAGAAGACCACAGGTTTCAGATTACTGTACCATTACTTACTTTGAGATCATATTATAATAATAGGTAATATTTATTGAGTGCCTCCCATGTGCCAGGAATGGTGTCCTAAATTCATTATCTCCTAAATCCTCATTCTAATCCAATGAAGTAGACTGGGTTCAGTGCTGAGCACCACCCCCCACAAGCTAAAATAAAAAAAAAAAAAAAAACTCACCAGGAAACTTCACGTATGTCCTAACTGTGCCATCAGTGGCTCATCAAATGAGTTTAGGTGGAATAAACCAGCTCATCTCATTTCCATATTTATATACAAACAAATATAGCTAGTGCATCAATAATACAAAAGTTACATAAGGTTTTTCTTTTGAGATAAGCATGAAAAAAATGTTACTCAACTTTTTAAAAGACAGATATTGACTAGAAAGAAATATAAAAAAATTTAGTTTGACTTTATGAGAAGGTAAAACTCTGAGTCTCTTTTTTCCCTTTTCCAAGGGTTTCAATGTTCTTAAAATGTTTGTATAAAAAAAAAGCATTTAAAAATTCTTTCTGTTCTAGCTGCTCCAAACATATGCTACCACTCTCTAAAGTACACTTGCATTGCTTCATCCAACAGCTCTTCAATATGCCCACTACTGTGCTCTGTCTCCCGTAAGTGAGCATCTCTCCCTTTTGCGAAGTAATTTCCTGACATTCATTAGATTTTTATTCTGTCTTTTATGAAGCTTCAGGACCAAGTCATTTACTACGGAAAAGGTTCCAGAAATTTTCTGTAAGGAAAAAGTATTTGGAGAATCTGGTAGGCATATGAAACTATTGTTTAAAGGGCAGAGTTACAAGAATGCTTCTCCCAGAGGGTACTTCATATATGATAAACTGCCCATTTCTGACACTCAAACAAAAAAAACTCCAATTGGAATAGGGGGAATGACTCTCTTTGATCCCAAAGAACCCTGAGGGCCACTGACCTAGCCCAAGAACATGTGTTTCCCACAATCAGATGCCCTCCAATCCCTGAGATGGTCTCAACAAGCAAATAAAACCATCTTGGACTTTTTTCTTTGGGGAACAGAATTCTCTGAGCCTTTAGGGAAGCTGTCCAATGACTCACACCTGTCAGCCAGCCACCCAGGCAAAGGGCACCTCACCCACCTGTGCATGTTCCCATTGGTAGTGAAAGACTGGCCACACACAGTACACTTGTAAGGCCTCTCCCCAGAGTGAACCAGCATGTGGCGATCCAGGGAGCTGGCTGAGCTCAGTGACTTTCCACAGATGCTGCACGAGTGGTCAGCTCCTCCAGTGTCGGTGTTGTGCTATAGAAAGCAATCAGTGTAGTGGTCACTTGGAAGGTGGGCAAAAACTCCAATACTAGAGCTTTATAAAAACCAATGATGCTTCTGCCTTTTTTTTTTTTTTTTCTGTTTCTTTTTAAGTATTTCCCCAAGGGTCAAAAGATACTAGGAACATAAGTAATTATTGTTTGATGTTCCACTCCTATGTTCCAGTTTTGAAAATCAGTTTTTTTCTTTGAAACACATGTATTAACTCTGATGGGCAGAAGGATCCTCAACTGTACAGCAAATATGTGAAACAGGATTCTCACAATGAAAGTTAACATCCTCTCTTCCAGTTTGATTATTCAGGCCTGCTGTCAGATAAAGAGAACTGAAACCTACATGGGTAGTTTTGGCTTCTGAAATATGCTAAGGGACATTTCTATCCTACCCCAAGTACTCTGGCAACTTGATGCTATTATTCAGCAGCATGTTATGATTTTAACAGGTCATCAATGCTTCCCTGTTCTCTATTCCTCAATAGTCTGTCACGAATCAGCCATGACAGGAAAGGGACAAGGATAAATCTTATAACGAAGGAAAAAAGATTCCAAATTAAAGAAATTTCCAGATGCATTATGTGAATTTGTATTAAAAATAGGGGGGGATGGAACTTAGAGCAACTATTTTTAAACTATTTGGCGGGGGAGGGGGGGCACAAAAGGAGGAAGCAGAAAAATAGGGAAACTTGGTGTGGTGTTACACACCTGTAAACCCAGCATCAGGAAGCTCAGGCAGGCAGATCACAGGTTCAAGGCCACCCTGGGCTATACTGACAGACACTATTTATCTAGATAAATAGATAGATAGATAGATATTGGCAACTATAATCTCATGACATCATAAGGGATTCAGCTCATACTGACAGGTCATATATAAGTGGTCAGTTAACTAGGTGTTTATTAAATTCTGAAAAGGTATTCTGTGTTGATCTGGGCTCTGTCATAGCAACATAAACACACAATTATTTCACATCCCAAGATTATTAAAATACTAAATCTTAAATACAGCTCAGAATTCACCCATTAGAATTAAATCACCTTATCCTCTGTTAATGAATAATTTAGAACAAAAATGCAAAAGCAGCCCAACCTGACGAATGTGCATAGTTAATTGGTGCTGGGTAGTGCAAATCTTTTCACACAGAGGGCAGTTGTAGGAAGACTTCTCTTCTTTCATTTCCTGAAAAGAGATTAAAAAATGGAGGATGAATTTCAAATCATAGTAAACTGGTGTCTTCTATTTTTGTAATAAGTCCCTGTGTCTTAAGAGCTAGCTTTAGCAGCTGAGAACCCTGGAATGGAGCTTGTCCAGGTTATGGGCCTGGGCAGATCACCTCTCTGTCTGCCCTCCATTTCCTCATGAGTAAATGGGAAAAATTATATCAACCCTGTGATGCAGATTATATTAATGAACATGTTTGAAGTACTGAAATAGTGCCTGGTACAGTGTAAGTGCTCAATAATTACTAGCATTCTTAATACACAGACAACCAATTAACATTTAGTTTATGGTCAGTGATGGTGAAAAGCAAGCCTCAAGTCACTCACTGTTCTGCTAGGAAAGGAATTTATTTCTCTCCAAGTCTAACCCAGGCTTCAGGCATTATTTTCTACCAGGTCTCAAGGCCCCCCAGAACACAACGACAGGAGTCCCTAGTGCCCAGCAAATGGTACCCAATGGGCATAACATGACTCCTTTGTCCACTGTTGGCATGTGCTTTAACACTGGTTGGAAATAACAAATGACAAGAATACTGTCTCTGTCAGAACCTTTATAGGAATGACAACCCGAACTGAAGACTTCCATAAAGGGAATTTGGTCATGCAAGGAACACCATCGAATGGGTTTCCAAGATCTCCAGGATCACTTGGAGAGCTCTGTGAAATAGACATTTCTGGACCAGACTCTCAATATGCTAGATTGCAATCATGGGAACCCCAGAAACTGTTTGTCTTATAAACTCCCCGAAAGAAATGACATGTGTTTGGGCTTGGGGACAATAACGTTACTAACTCAGGTGGTCATGAGCATTTCTACTGAGAATTTATGTACAGGAGCTATGAGAAAGAAGTTGGGGGAAGATGTTAGTGTTAACAGGTTTCCAAGGCCAGGTGGCCTCTGAAGTGGGTGTGTGTTTGGAGGGGCGGGGAAGTGTACAAGAAAGCTCTCTAGGGGCTGGATGCCCTAAGTAAAACATTTCCTGTCCTCAAGCATTTTTTAATAGGTATCGTTTTACTTGTATTCATTTGAGTGAGATTTTGTTCTCTGGAAATAATGCCAATTATTGAGCACTTATTATGTGCTAAACACTGAATATATAGTAATATGAGGGTTTTTTTCCACAACCATTAAGAGAGAGTCACTTATTATGGATCCTATTTTCTGGACAAAGAAACTTATCGTACAGAGGGGCAAGTAACTTGCTCCAAACCAGAGAAAAATTAAAAAGTAGAAACAAAGGGAGGGGAGGTAGCATGCATGAAACCCTGGGTTCAATACTCAACACTGCCAAATTAAAAAAAAAAAAAAAAAGGTAGACACAAGATTAAAACTCAGGACAGCTGCTCAACAGACCACATCCTAAATTTGACCTAAGAAAGGATTAACCCCAAGGCGCAGAAAGGAAAAACCCCTGTGGATGCTCATGAGAAATGATGAAAATAAGAGCCATCCCAAAGACTATGAAAACAAATGGCACCATAAACCAGATGGGTGAATAAGTATGTGATGGTGTCTAGCTCTTAGCTGCCTTCTCCCTTACTCCTCCCAGAAACTAGTAAGTCTCGTTCTAAGCACTAGAACCCTCTTTCTAACCTGTGGAAGTGAGTCTGAGGAGTAGTTATATCAACCACACATTTTCTCACTCAAATTCTAAGAAAGTTGAATACCCCAGAAACATTAAAAAAAAAAAATCTGTTCTCACTCACTTATCCATATACTTCTAAGTTCTCTCAGAAGCATAATGGGGGTAGAGGTGGCCAAGGACCCCCATAAAGAAAAAAACAAAAAACAACAAAGAAAGAGCACTTGCCAAGTAACAAAAAATGTTTCAAGCTGGGCCAAAACTTAAAAGTCAAGTTCAATACCTGGGGCACTTTTTGTTAAATCCTTAGATTGTAATACTGTGCATTAAAAAATAAATAAATAAAAGATTCACCAGTGTTATGGAAATGCATGCTAAAAAGTCAATCTTCAGCCAGTGGCTCATGCCTATACTCCCAGCTACTTAGGAGAATGAGGCAGAAGGATCACGTGAGCCTGTGAGTTCATGCCAGCTGGAGCAACATAGATCTCATTTCAAAACAAGCTCCAGCCTCCAAGTGCCCAGCCTCTTGAAGAGATGCATTCTTGAAAAATCACCTTGTATTCACCTGAAACATTGGGCTGGCTGATATTGACTCTAGGGTTGATCATTAACTGTCCCCAAACCTGAAACTGACAGTGGTGCCATGCACATGTGGACCATAGGATAGGTTCACAAAACCCAAGGTGGTGGGAAGAAGGTCTCTGCACTCAGATTCACTAATTTTAAAAACAAGCAAAACAGAAAAGAGAACTGTGATTTTAGAAAAGGCCTAATGGAGAATTTTGAGCCCAGTTACTGCAGCCGTGCTAGTGGAAGCAGCACACTTCCTGAGCTGAAAGAAGAAATTAGCAACCAATGTGATAACTAACCATTCCATAATGGAACTATCTGGCACCCTTGTTGGCATCATGCTGTTGCTAATCTGTCCTGGAACTCTGTGCTCACATGGATGGGACTTTTCCCTGGCCTCTCTCCTTCTACCCTCCCCATCCAGTTCTCAGGTAAAGAGGATACTTCCTTCTTCCCTACACTCTCTCCCCATTGCATTTTGTTTTCTTAGATTAGGTGCTGTATTTAGCAGGCTACCTCTGGCCTAGATCTCCCTTTTAAAAACAAAGCTGGTGTACCAGATCTCTGAAGGAGAAAAGAGGTGGATGACAAGTGGCCCAGTTACACCTGCACATTTGCTTCCTCACTCCTGAAGGAGCAACATTCACTTCGAATGCAGGAATGGGAGGTACCGTGGGTATCTTCTGGCCCTAATTACTACTTCAGGACAAATGGGAAGGAACTGGAGCCTACCTGTGCTGGGGCTATACTTGCCTACACTCCTATTCATTCTTGCTAGAACAAAGAAGGATGAGGAGGACAATGACTTCATCTGTCTTACTCATCCCTACATGCTTGACACTGGGCAAGGTAGCTGGCTAGAAGTTGGAGCTAGGTATATATTGATAAATGGACTGATGGATGGAGAGATGGACAGATAGATGGAAGGGACAGGCACATGGGAGTAGACATAAACCTTTTCTTCCCAGAGCTAGGGCTCCTTCTTGACTCAGGCCACAGTCATACAGGCTGAGTATTTTCTCAGGTACCCATAGGAAGAGAAGCACATGGAGGCAAGAGAAAAAAGAGAGAAAGATATCAATGTTCCAACACTAAAACATCTCTGAGTTCTGTTGAGTACTCAGCCTTGAGCAAGGTGTAGAGAAATGCAGTCCCACACATTGCTGGTGGGATTTGAGTCTGGTAGCATTTTTTTCTGGAGGACATATTGTACCAAAATTTTAATTAAGGTTCTACATCTGAAAATTTAATAGAAAACTATCAGAGCTGTGCTGAGAAAATTCTGTAAAGGACAGTCATAGAAGTATTACTGACAAAAAAGAAAATTAGCTCACAAAAACCCAACAGATTTGCTTTCTTGTCCACCTCTGGTACCTAGGCAAGCTCAAGACTGCCTTCTCTCCAAAAGTTTAACATAACCCCATTACAACAGTGAAACCAAAAACTAAAATGAAGAAGTTAATTCAAACTATATAGATTCAGAGAACTGAGAATTATTTGCCCTCTGACCCCTCCTTGATGTACCCTAAAAGTTGATTAAAATGTTCTACCATGCCAGCAACAGTTTTTCAAAAGTGCCCTATTTGTCCATTAATTAAAAGATAGCATCTTATTTCCCAAGAGAGGTCAATGGAGGAGACAAAGCTTTTTATTAATGCATTAATTCCTCCCAATCTGTCTATACATTCTTTCCCACTTGTGCCAAGTGAAAATTCAAAAGGACTAAGCAGAATCTTAAGTGGAATTCTAAGGAGCCAAATTCTGTGTGCTTTCAAAGCTGGAAAGCTGAGTAGTAGCCTCTACACAAACAGGACTTATTTCCTACCTAAGCTGAAGACACTTAAAAAAAAAAATTAAGAAAGTGGCTTAGAAAGCCCAGTTGAATAGCTGTGTGAATAAGGAATGAAACCACATCACAGCTGAGGAATCAATCAAGTTCACTGCCTTGACCATCACTGAAGAAAGCTTGTGTTTAAACCAAATCATGGGGCAAAGAACAGGGTGCTTTCACCAACATACCACAGCCAAGAAAATTTCCTCTTTGAAAGGAAACTGACATAAGTTTTGAAAAATTTGTTCCTATAAAATGATTAACGTCTGTCTCTAGGTGCCTCTGTCTAACTCAGAATGCATCCAAAGTTTTATATTTGTGAATTGGGGAACTTCTTCCAACATTCTCATTGTCTGAACCTATCCATTACTACCATCCAGTACACAGACACTTACCTGGTTCCTTCTGCCAATCCGATTTGGTCCTGGAGGCTTTGTGGGGGACTTGATGCCCTGGGGGCTCCCACCATTCTCGGTGACGTTCCCTACACTCATTACTGCAGACATCATGCTGTTGATGGAGGACAGGTCTGAGCCTTCCAAGCCAACGGGCGAATTTGACGTCATTGGGACAGGGGCTTATGCTTCTAAGAAGCCTCTGCCATAGAACTGAAAGACCGGAAATTGCTGATATGATCATGAGGAAATTTAGGCTTCCAACATAGCCAGGTACTGCTAGCCATGACTGCCATGGATTGCAAGTGAAATGAAAAAAGCCCAATACCCTTCTAATTCAAGCCTATACTCATGATGGTGCCCAAAATAATTTAAGCTTTCACTTAATGACTCTTGGTATACCAAAGATTAACCGCCAATCTTTCTTTTTTTTCTAAATGTATGTCATGAACAAGACTCAAAAGTGACCAGAGGCAGGTTTCCAGTGCCTTTCCTAATCTTTGTGAGCAGAGGAGGGAAAGGCTGAGACAACAATGAAGAAATCCAGAGAGCTGCCATTTGGCCAGCACCCTCTTCATAACCTGCACTCATCTGCAACTTCATGAATTTTCTAGGTCTAAAAACTAATGAGAAACTTCAGGTTTCATGTAACTCTGTTGCTATAATATAGTGATTATACAGTCCAAATTCTGTAAGAGACTAGCGAAATCTACCTTGCCAGAATTATAACCATTTCAAATTGACGTAAGCAAGCCTAGTTTCTTAAAAATACAAGTAGGTGATACACTTATACCCTAGCAAATAAAGACAAAAACCCTACTATCCACTGCTGATTACCTCCATTTTCTGTCCCAACTGACTATGAAATTTCCTCCTTAGACAGCTATCAGCCACACGAAGTAGAAAATGCTCGTGTTTGTTTCTTTTTCTTCTCTTGGTATTACTTGTTGGCACTGAAAAAGAAACAGGTAAAAAGGTTTGATAAATTCACTAAGCAAAAATATTCAGTTGTAGTCGATGTGGTGGCACACGCCTGTTATCTCAGCATTGGAGAAGTGGATGTAGGACAATCATGAGACTGAGGCCAACCTGGGCTACATAAGCAAGACCCTGGGCAAAAAAGAAAAAAAGAAGGAAGGATTGATTTAGTCTTTATTTTCTGTGATGTCAGACAAAAATACAATAAGCACAAATGAGAGGCTAATTCTGTCCTTTTTTTCTTCCAAAACTGTATTCTGTCAGGTGCCAGTGGCTCACGTCTGTATTCTTAGCTACTCAAGAGGCAAAGAGCAGGAGGACTACAGGCAAACAGTGACACCCTATCTCAAAAATACCCAACATGTAAAAGGGCTGGTGGAGTGGCTCAAGGTATAGGCCCTGAGTTCAAACCCCAGGACTACACACACAAACACACACAAAAAGATTTTACTTCTTCAGGCCACATGCATTCCTTGAACTAGAAGAACCATGGCTATAGGTGCGGCCAGCAGTAAATCCACAGGTAAAAATGTTGCCCTTATTTTATCTGGAAAGATATTCTATAGCTGAATCCCTGCCAGCAGTATTACATTAATATCCTATTATCCTACAGTGTGCTAATGAAGAAGTCCACAGAAGCAACCAAAGATCAAGCTCATCATCTCAGTTGTAAAGAGGATACTTAAAAACATGGTTTGGTGTTTCATCCGTCAACTTTAAGGGATATGACCTAGCACATGTAACAAATGGTCCCACCCAGAGCAGCCATCCTGTAGCAGAGCAAGAAAAGTCTGGGCATAGACCTTTATTAAGTGAGGCTTCCACTACCTGTGTAGTACCAAGCTAAAGTGCTATCCACAGCAATTATTAAAAAAAGAAATGCTACCCAAAGGGCCAAAGAGAATCTTAGGAACAAAACTATCCTTGTCAAGAGATTAAACGTGGGGGCTCAGGATGATGCTCAGTGATAGAGCACTTGCCTAGCATTCTTGAGACTCTGGGTTCAATACCCAGTACCCTCCACAAAAGACAAAATGTACCTTTCTTGTATGGTTTGAATGTGTCCCCCAAAATTCCATGTGTTGGAAACTTAATACTCAAATTCATAAATTAACAGTATTTGGAGGTAGGGCCTTTAGGAAGTAACAGGGATTAGATTATGTCATGAGAGTGGGTGGGCCCCCATGACGAGATTAGTGACTTTAAAGGAAGAGGAAAAAGAGACCTGAGCTAGCACATTTGCTCTGCCCACCATGGTATGACACAGCAGGGAGACCCTCACCAGATGCCAGCACCACGCTCGTCTTCCCAGCCTACAGAAACATGAGCCAAGTAAACTTGCATGCTTTATAAACTACCTGGTGTCAAGTATTCTATTATGCCAACAGAGAACAAACTAAGACAACTGTTAACAGACATATGAACCAAATGGCTTTACAATCAGTAGTAAAAAGGAATAACTACGGAAGCACACAATTTAAGGCTCCTGATCCAGCTTCATCTTCCACATCTTTCTTCATAAAGAGAGGAAAGCCATTACCAAAACTAAATGAAAAACCCCAATTTATTTTTTTCTCCTCCCTTCTTCCCTTCCCTCTCTCCCTTCTTTTTTGAGACAGGGTTTCACAATTATGGTCCATGCTGGCTTTGAAGTCATGGTCCTCCTGTCTCAGCTTCCAAGTGCTGAGATTATAGGCATCTATTACCATAGTCAGGATCAGACTATTGTCTTTCCCCATGCTAGCAGACCATTTAAACTTATTAAAAATTGTACTTTAGGGGTGTGGCTCAAGCAGAACACTTGCTTTGCGAGCGTGAGGCCCTAAGTTCAAATCCCAGTCCCACTAAAAAAATTTTGCACTTTATACTTCCTATTTCTAACTATTTGGGTGGTTTCTCTCCAGGGAAAAAAACGGCCAGACTTGTACATACCCACACCACTTTTCTTTCTTAAAACAGATTGATAACAAAAGTATGAACAGTTGCTAGAATTTTGTAACTCATCAGTATGTAATTATGCATTTGGTTCATAAATGGATACTTGCAGCATTAAACTCACCCTGTTCTTTTAAATATATCTCCTCACCAAAAAAAAAAAAAAAAAAAAAAACCCACAAACAACTCTCCCCATAAACTTAATGTACAGAAAACTACAAAATTACTGACTAGAAATCTATCTTTACTTTAATTATGTTAACTTAGTAAAGAAAATGAACCTTTCTACCAATTTATACTAAGAGTTTGAAAGAAGATCTTGCTTTTGTCCTATTACTACATTTAAGTATTTTTCTGTTTGTTTTGTTTTTTGGGTTTTTTTGAGATAGGGTCTTGCTCAGTATCCCAGGCTGGCCTAGAACTCACCAGCCTGGCTGACTTCAAACTCTCAATCCTCTTGCCTAAGCATCCTGAGTGCAAAGATTACAGGTAAGTACAATCATGCTTGTCTCAATAGGAAAACTGATTAAAAAAAAAAAAAAAGCCAAACTGCCAATAAGAATTTTTTCAGTTATTATGAAAAGGAACATTCTTGCAAACTACCTAAAATGTCTGAAATATAGAATGTGTACTGAGACCATCATAACTAATAGCAAATCAGCTGAAAGGTGCAAAGGCTGATTATACTTGAAAAGAAAAAAAGCCATCCTACTCTGTCTGGACAGAAATACATTGGCTAAATTTATTTTCTCCTTGAGGACAAGGTACAAAGTGTGAAACTATCCATCAATGATTTCAAGATTCCCTACATTTACTTCCTTTTCCTATTTTAAATGTAAGTAAACTGAAATATTATTTTAGAAAGTTGAGTCACTTTTCTCATTTCTGATCTGAAAGTGCAGTTAACACATTGTTTGAAAAGAATCAGGGGACCCATCCCTGAGAAGATGTTTAGGAAGAAGCCATCAACCTGCTCCATGAAGCTGAGGCAAGATTTTACTCCAGTTTGTTCTCGAGTCTCATAGTGAAGTTCTCCTTTGAAATCATGGAACAGGGCACAAGTAAAAGATGCTGGTACACAACACAATGTAGCTCACTGTTCTATTTTAGAAAAAATAAGATCCACCTTAACATTAAAGCTCATCTACCCGATAATTTAACCAGAAGCAAGTTGGCTAGTACTGGTTGATTCTCCTTACTCCACGGCCTCTCTCCAGACTGGAGCAGTATCTCAAACTAATAACACCTAAAACTGCTGACCCTAACTCTCTTGGGATAAAAGATAATCCTAAGAGTGTAAGCCTCATTGACAAAGCACTTTTTTCTTCATGGATACAGCCCTAGAATTTTCTTTCTTTCTTTCCTCGGTTCTATTTTCCTTCCTGATACCATCGCATGTGCTGCAAGTAAGTTAACTAATTAAACTTTTTAAATGAAAATAAAATCACTGGCCCAATCAAATATAATTCCTCCAACTGGAATCAACCAAAGAGGACTAGGACCGCAGATGAAGTTCCCAAGCCACAGACATGATCAACATCACCCATGTGGACTGGTCTAGTTTTGAACCCATAGTCTGGATTTAGGGATGGGGAGGGAGGGATAAGAGAGGAAGGAGGTATCTGAGGTGTTGCTTCCTATGAAGCAAATCCTCAGCATCCTAAGATTTCTCAGCCCACACCACAAGCTCAACAGATCAAGAAGAACTAGTAAGTCACAGTTGTAATTTTAACCTGATTTTGCCCCAAGCTTCACGAGGACCTGAAAAAGAGGGAGGACAATTCAAGGAGAGGAGGATGGGAGAAGAGACAGCACAGAAAGACTCAACATTCACCATTACTGTGACTCAAGGGAGGTCTACAAAGGTTAACTGACCTGTTTTCCTCACCTTATCAAGCTGCCCTCCTTACTGAGATGCTGACAACAGCTGGGCCCAAATATGGACAGAGTCACACCTCAGTGAAGCCACTACTTCTGGAGCAGAGTTGGAGCAACCTGAAAAATTGAGAGAATGTGACATTAAAGGGGAGTAAGGCCAGAAGTTATCCTGCTTCCATATAATTTCCTCTACTCAACACCACCAGGAAAAGAGGGTACTTCCCATTCCCTGTCTGCAGTTGTAAGCAAGCTGTTTGCTGATTCCATGCAGAGGTGTCCCATTAGCATCCAAGCAAGAGTGGCTGCAGCAAAGTATGCCTTGGACAGACAGGAACCTCACTATAACCCCCAAGAAAGCACATTCCAACAACACGGAGGGCAATGATACATGGGAATGGCTAAGACCACCGGCTCCAGGTGGAGTTTTAAGCAGTCTAATGGCATGTTCACTAGTAGATGCTGGACTAGGAGTGTAGCTCAATGGTAAGACCCCTCCCTAGCATTTGTGAGGCCCTGGATTCAAATCCCATGACTGCAAAACATAAAAACAAAAACAAATATGGCCAAACAGTAGATGCTGTTGGTCCTTTCCAGCTTAGAGGGAAGAGAAAAGCAAGAGACAGTAATCAGAGCTATCAAAAACAGGGAAAAACAGAAAAGAGCTGAAGAAAATAAGAAATATGAAACTAACAGTGCCTTAAGTAGATTATTACATCCTTTCCCAACCAAGGGGGTAGGGAGTGTCTGTAATACATGTTAAACAGGACCAAATACATGCATTTCCTTTGCTGTAGGAACAAACAGAAAATGGCTCTAAAATTACACGTCCTTCAAAAGTGTGAGAAGGTCTGCTCTAGGATTTCAAGAACCCCAAAAGCCCAGATCTGGGAGAATGCTGTGTCTGGTCCTCAATATAGCCAAGAGAAAGCTGGAATGTAACATAACCCATAGCTACAGCATCCAACTCTGGAAACTGCATCCTCAGCTAAACTGAAGAGTCCAGAACAGGGAGAAGACAAGAAGCAGAATAAGGACT